TACTTCAAACAACTCAGCACAAAGACGAGCTCTAAACCACTTTCATTCTCAGTCATATGGAATCTGAATGTATGCGGCATCACAGACAAAAGGAATGTCAGCATACATCCCTCCTAGTGCACACCTCATGCACTCCAGCACCGTGAACAAGTAGCCAAATGCAACCGCAGTCCAGAAATGCATTCCAATCTTGCCCCAGTACACAGCAAGCGGCATCCAACGGCTCACAGTTCCTATAACCTGGAGGGCTATCTCGAGCAGCATACCCATTACAACATGAAAACGGAAAAAGTGCGGCCATTCTTTCCTCCTCACCACCCCGAGGTAGGCAGCAAAGAAGTAGGCCATAAGGAACCAGCTAGGCAAACGCCCAATGGAGCCAAGGAAGGGATAAGTAAGGAACTTGAAGTCCTCCAGAAAGGGATGGAGATGGAAAGCAGTCTCTGCATACATCCATGTCTCATGGAGGGGCATGAGGTAAGGTATGCAGGCTACGGCTCTCCACCACCACCTTGGCTTCTTTGTCATTGGAGGATAGCGAAAGCTCAAAGGGACATCCTTTGATGCTCTAGGAACCATGCGGTGTCTGGGGCCTGAAGTGCAGAGTTTAGGGAAAACAGGAACCAGACTTGAAAGACTTCTATGATGTCCACTTTGGAAGGAGGACAACACACTTGAGAAATGTGTGACATTGCAACCTGCAAATATGTAAATACACTATCAAACTGCCCAAAAACCTTAGTCACAGCAATATTTCTGCCAAATGATAAATGAAAACAAACAGTGTCAGTTACTACCTAGTCTGAGGAATGTTGAGGCTGACCTACTGATATGCAATCTTTTGGACTGAGAATTGTGTCTTGTATTTCCAACCATTTCTCAGGATATTAGAATGAGAAATCACTAGGAGCACCAGAGACTTGCATGGTTCTAAAGGTACTATTACTGAACCAAGATATTAGAAATTGAAATTAAGATGCATTATGCACTTGTGATTCACATGGAAAACAGCACTATTTGTCTGATCATTCTCGTACAACTTGGGATAATATTTTTCCGTTAAGCTCACTACGGCACACTTGTCATTCAAGATAACCAAGGTCATCTACTCATCTAATTCAAAAAGTGAGTCAAGTAAACATGGGAAGATGTTTACAATCCCCCATGAAAACCTAAAATGATAAAACAATAAGCTTTGATCTCATACGTTACATTACGGAAGGCAAAACAAGAGAAAATAGTCTAAATACAATATAAACATTTTCAAAGGAAATGTATAGATTTTGTGACTAGGATCTAAGTTGGTTAAGATAAATAGTGTAAGGAAAGTTAGAGAAGATTTTACTAGAAACAATACAACAAAATTCTTAAGTTATTAGGTTGTAGCATGACTCTAAATGCTAAATGCTCTTGAGTTATTAGAGATATTGAAATATAGTATTATATGATGCCACAACATATCTAAGACTTAAGTGCTTGCTGCTGTTATTACTGTTTTTCTTTTTTTTTATAGCTTGGACTGCAAACTGGACAAGATATTGATCCCATATCAGGGGTGATGTTAGTGCACAAGGTTGTGGCATGACTCTAAGTGTCTAATACATATGTTAAAAAAAAAATGCAAAACCATGATCTATGTAAACCAGGTGTATGCACATACCTCTTGAGGGCAAGGGGTCAAACTCCTGAGAAGCAGCACACAAATTCTTAACCTTCGGAGATGCCGAAAATGCCCGATCGTGGGAAAAGTAAGACAAATTGGAGTAATTAATTGCCTTGCAAGGCCCAGGTTTCATCGCGACACATCCATTCAGAATCATGTCCTTATCAGCTGGACCAATAACCTAATCTATTAGCATTAAGTATACACAAAATCAGGTGCTCATTATACCAGGCATAATTAAACAGTAACCACTGAGTAAGATGAACCAGTAATATGCATCAAAATTAGAGCATGACAGACAAACACAGATTGAATAGATTTTCAGTGATGATAGGAACAATGGCGTGTCCATTTACTAGTCCATGTGTCCTAACTTCATTTAAATCATAAGCTATTAGCATGATAATTGGTAGAGAAGAAACAATAAAGGAGGAGATAAGCAAAGATATTTTATGATGAGTTTAATAGCTCCAACTGCATCTTTACCAAAATAAATGCAGATATAACTTCAGTACAGTTGAATGACAGACAGCAATCTTTGCATCTAAAGACTACAAGGGCTAAAACATGAAAATAAGTTCCTGATATGATCTGATTGCTTTACACAAACAACGAAGGATAGACAGGCCATATACTTTGAATCTAGTCAAATATTTGAGTTGAGCACCCGATAGACATACCACAGGAGTAATGCTAAAATCATTTAGTTAATATGAAGAGAAGCAACATAATACAACAAATTACAAATATACTGATTTCTTTTATTAAGCAAGCATAACACGTGTCTCATGGAAATTAGATCTCATTGCTTCTTGAACACTAATGACATCTTATACAAAAAGTCACGCGCCTATACAATACTTTTCTTGACAAATAAACATGTTATGCAATACTGACATCTTATATAAATAAACAACTTTTGTTGACGAGTTATAGAAAAACATTTATCATCAAACCAAATTTATCTACAATCAGTACAGTATTATGGCTATCAAAATAAAGAGGCAAACAGACAACATTAAAATACATAAGTGAGAATAATATGCCATGAGAAAATTAATGTATGTAAAGTAGATATATACATTCATTTACCATTCAACGCAAATGGTCAAATGGAGATGGCACAGATGTGGCTATCATTTTTTTTTTTTCAAATGACACAAAGTTCGAGCTCCTAGTAAACCCTGGTTCTTACCTATAATCCATGTTCCTCATTTGGTTTAGCCTCTAAAGAAAATATCAGTCAACAATGACATGCATAGCAATTAACATCAGATGCTAGTAAGAGATGCAAACTTCCAACATTAACTCGATTCGTGGTATTTGTCTTTTGAGGGTATTCATGTAACTTCAAGCTTGCATATAGTTTTGTATGCTATCATATATTTCCAAAGGAAGCAATAAAGAATCCATGGACACCTACTATACATATGATGCGCTCCTCTAGTTTAATCTGGACGAGAATAGGAGCCACGGGGCTCATTCTGATAACCCAATGACCCTGGTAAACCACCTAAGTGCCAATGGAAGTAACTGGACCATCGATCAATCCTCAATTTTTGCGGGTTCATCATGCCAAAACCACTTTTTGGCTACCTGAACTATATGTAGTAGACAGACCAGTATATAATACTGATGTGGAATGTTCTAGTGGATTAATTGGGTTGAATGTTTTCCACGAAGCATGCTTGTTAGTTTGGACAGCCAATGTATTAGGTTAATATAATTCCCCTAGTCTATGTAGCCTTTGGGGTTTGCATGACATTCACATTGTTCATCGTCTACATAATCTTCTGATCAGTTGGCATCTAACGCACAATTACAAGAAAAGAGATCCCTACCGTAGAAGAAATCTCCAAAGAGAACAGCAATTGTAAGTTCAATAAACCGAAATTATCCATGCTGCAGATCATCAACATCACAAGATGCTTTAACTAGGCAGGAAATGAAAAGAACCTAACTTACAACCTACAGAAACCAACGGGCGAGAGAAGCGAAGAGCAAGGAATAGAGAGGAGAAGAAGCAGTTACCTTGGCGACAAGGATTTGGTGGTCGTCGTAGACGGCGGCGGCGGCGGATGTCTCGGAGGCGGATGCCCTCGACGAAGGAGCGAGTTGGGCGGTGATGAAGTCGAGATTGGCGGTAGGGCGAGAACTTTGTGTGAGAAGAGACGGCGACGGGAAACCAAGTGGGGATCGAGGGGATAAGGGTTTTATAGTATATTTATATTTTTTTATATTATTATTATTATTATTATTATTATATATATATATATATATATAATATAGCTATT